GTAGATGAACGGCACCAGTTTCCGGTGTCCGTCGTGAATGGCCGCGTGAGACTGAGCGGTGAGCATGGCCACCGAAACACTGCTGTTTGACGATGATGTCTATGATCGCCAAACAGGTCAAGTCCCGCAAGGCCGACTTGGCATTCGGGCGATTCATCCGGATGTTCGACGGCGATTCCGAAGAGGACTTCAACAAGAATGTCCAAATGGACTGCTTCACTTGGGTCTGCCCAGCGCCATCGACCGCGACCCATCCGCTTGGTGCGACTACGATGTGGAATACTCGTCGGTCACTTAGCAGCGTGGCCGTCGCCGCCGACGTCGTACTATGTCCTGTCCATCGGCGTTCCTGTTCTACGACAAACCGTCCGTGTTCTGCGACCGGCAGTCAGTGTTTTTCTACGCGTTCGGCACGTTGATCGGCTGCGGAAACCGCAGCAGGTGTTCCAATCCGACTGGCGTACCTGGGCCCCGCCTGATCACCATCCCGCAGGCCGAACTCAAAATCGACAACCAACAGTCACTGCTTGTAACCGACTTGAGCCTGACCGGCTTCCAGCAAATTTACTACCGATCAACTCGTCGGCAGGCTCGGGCAACGATTTCCAGGCGCTGGTCCGGCGGTACCAAATTGTGCCGGCCGAACACTTCGGCTACTTCGTCCGGCGCATCCTGACGGCTAACGACTCGGTCGTGTTTGCGTCCAGGCGCAAACGGTACAAGCGTGAGTCCAACGCCACTAGGCCGTTGCACGTGCTGTCGTTCACGGACAATATTATATGAGACGCATACTGTCAGAACAGCTATTACTTAACCTAACAAAAAATACATTTGTCTAGAACAATGTATTATAAAAAGGCTAAACTTTCCCAAACACACCGCACTAGAATAGTATTTTATTAAGAAAATGTACTAGGGTCCCATGCATAAAATGTGTAAGTATAATATTTATCAATAAAATGATTACTAGATGACTGCTGCTGATGTTTCTATCCAACTGGCGTACGAGGGCAGTCTGATCACCGTTCTGCAGGCTTAGCCCGAAATCGAGGACTTACAATCACAACTGAAAACCGACCTTAGCCTGACAGGCCGCCTGCAGACGTACTACCTGATCAATTTCTACATTAAACTTGATGAATGGCTTTATGCAAAAATGCCCTAAGTGCATAACATTTATAACGTTTTGGTAAAAGGAGAAACCTTTGTTTAGAAAAAAAAAAAAAAACTCTTCGATGCGAATCTGAATATAGTAGTTGCAATCCTGTACACAAATCAACAAATGTCAACAATATAATTTGTATAACAATATGATATTGAGAAAAACTGTTTATTATGAAACACATACAATTACTGACAATTTGGATATTTGTGCGGTAAGCAAAAACTTGATTAATGATTCAACTTTAACATGTGGCATAAACTGTGATGCCAACTGCTAGTTAAATTTTTCTAGTCTTATTGAATCATCGTCAATTAGGACTTCATCAATTCCGCCCACAAAATGTACGTGATGGCTAACAATGTCCATTATAGTAGTTAGTTCACAAATACCATTTTCCACCTCAGCCTTGACCGTATATAAGTCACTTTGGAAATTTATCAAACTTCTGAACAACCCAATAGAGAGATTCAACGTTACCTTAAAATATAAAACCTTTTTTTTTTAAACAAATTTCAAACTTTAGCTTACTAGATACTAGTTTTCTTTGTTACGAAAGAATTATTAATAAAATAAAAATTATTCTCATAAATGATTTTAATTAGTAAATTATACGTTCAAGAAAGCAAAACCGTTTTAATAATATTTGAATATTTACTTACTATTTTCATAATAGCTTCCATAATAAATGTTATTCGTTCATATCCAAGCGTTGATATCAGCTGTAATAGTTAATAAATAACCGAACTGAATAACAGAGCTGTAATGTAAACAGTTCTGTTGTGCAACTTGCTAATAGCATAGAAAATCGAAGGAAGTAAAGTTCCTTTACTTGAAACCCAATGAACTTATAACTTTGTAGTCAACATTGACTGATCAGCATCGATTTTAAATTTTTATCATTTACTAGAAGGAATGTATAATAATGTGAGGTATGACGAGGAAAATAACATAATAATAAGTTACAAACTACAAACAAAAAACTACTAAAAAAAATACTTTTTATTGTTAGTAAAAAATTTCAGGCACAAATTGTTCATCATAAGAAATAAACTACACATTTTTATAAGATTAGGTATTATAGCTATAATTTATTATCAAAGCTTATTAGATAATTGTATGCATTTCCGTTTGAATATGTTCTTACTTTGTAAATAATAAATACAGTACAAATTATCAGATACACGTTCATTCAAATTGGTCGACAATTGACTTTTTCGACAGCCGCTGTTTGCAAAAATTCTGCCGTCACAATCCTTTCGAACACTGTTATCCATTGGAAAAGTCACGGTAAACCAATAATATACATGTGTTTCTCAAGAAATCACTGAACTTTATTAAGAAAACAATTGTTTGAGTATGTAAAAGTAATGATTATTGTTTATTTATCTTCGAGACGAATTTAAATAAATTCTCTGTTGCTAAGCAACTTATTACTGGTGTATGACGAACAAATATTACTTTTACTGCGGGAGCGTTATAATTATTTTTAGCCAATGTAAATAATATAGGAATATAGCTATATTTGATAACCGAACCTAACCTAAAAGTATTACAACAAATTTGTCCAACCATAAAAGTCCATAATCAATGCAAATAAAATTTATATCGTTATTATAAATTAAAAATCATCAAAAGAATAGATTACAAATGTTACTTTATAAGGTTTGAAAAGTTGTATTTTATGGCACAAATAAATTATTCATGTACATTATTCATGTATTTAACTAGTATACAAATTAACTGTTAAATAAGATTTAAAATAAGAATACAATTTAATATATATATTACAATATGTAAAATTATACTGAATTATACATTATGAAAACTTAAGATAGGTAAAAACAAATTATCAAATTACTTTACTTGATTATCAAAGACATGGATTCTCCTTTTTGTCAACTTGATAATAACTTCAAAGTTCAATATAATTCTACTTTACTCTAAAAAATATCTAAACATGCATGCATATTTAAGTTATTAAACAGGTTGCTATAAGAGATTCCAAAATCAGCCCACCTTAAATCATGTTAGCGGAGGGAAAAAAATAAAATTACCTAAAAATATTAGTGTATGATAAAAACGATTCACATAAGTAATTTTTTAATTATTTTAGAATATCGTAAATAGGTCAGGTTGGCCATGAAATTCATAACAAAACTGCATTTGTCGACGTCAGGTGTACATTATAATAGCGCAAATTCAATATGGGTATCTAAATAATGTTTACAGTCTTATAACTTGCAAAAAAAAAAATTATATAAACGATTACTATATTTTCATTTATGTAAACAGTGCAAATATGGAAACGCACATCGTACCACACCAGTGTTTTTCAAAGCAAGAAAAAATTAAGGCCAAGGCACGAATTCGATAAACAATACTAAATAAATACAACAATACAAATAAAAATTATACATGTATGTCAAACCAAATGGTTTCATTAATAATAAGACTGTTATAAAAATATCATTCAGCTCGATTCTCGTTTATGGTAACTCCTGATTTTAATCGAGTTAGTACGCTGGTGTTCTGGACCGATATGCACTACAATTGCCTATGGCAACAGCCGTTTAATTGGTTAACAAACGAACCTTTACTCACAAAATTGGTAATTTTATTAAATTTCAAACTATCTAAATTAAAAATGATAAAAATTAAATCGTGTTATGTTCATAATGATAGTCTATGAAAAGTTGTAGGTTTAGATTCTAAAAAGCTTCTTTCAATCCGTGTAGATTATACCGTGTTGTAGTAATTGATTTATTTATATCAAGAGAAAAACTACTATTCAAGTCGACGTTATACAAGAAATGGTTATTGTTTATTTATCATCCAGTCGATATTAAATTTTCTGTTGCTAAGCCACATAATTACTATGACAGTCAAATATTGTAATTAGCTATTTTTAATAATCGAACCTAACCTAAGAATATTTCCACATATTTTTTTCAACCAAAAAATCCATAATTAATGCCAATAAAACCCATATCGTTATTATACATTAAAAACCAAACGAATAGATTACAAAATATGTTATTTTATAAGGTTTGAAATGTTGTATACAAAGACATACATAATCTATTCATATACATTATTTATTTATTTAATTAGTATACAAATTAACTATTAAAATAATGTAAGACAAAACAATTTTTTTTCGAATTTAATTTATTTTAATTTAAAATTTCCCAAATCTAAATATACTATGAAAACTATCAATTATCTAGTTATTCTCCTTGATTTGATCATCAAGGATATAGACTGGATTGTCATATTTGTCAACTTCATAATAATTTCCATCAAAGTATCTGTATTTGAAGTATATGCGGTTACATCACTCGTAAAACAAATGTTTACTTAGGTATAATATTTTAACCAATGTAATGAATTTATTTTGCTTTTTTCTTGTCTAAGATTTTAACCTAAGGTCTAGATTTTTTTCCGATGATATTTAAAACGTTTTTTACCATGAAGACTGAAACTTATTCATAATATTTAATAATTTAGAATGGGAATTTACGGCTTGAGAGGTACTTGTTCTTATAAATGTTATTTATAAATATAAATAACATTTTGTTATTTTAATTTGTATAGCCTAAACAGTGTCAGCTATACGCTTATACTTTAAACGCACAATTGTCATCCTAATGACATGACAAATAACAACCCTTCAATGCCAATCAGTGGTTAGTACTATTCAAACCGGTACAGTCCAAACTAAGCACATTAAAAAACCAACACAGTAAGAAAGTTAGGGGCAGTATTAAATAACAGTATACAATTCATAAGCAACAAATATTTTAATTATAGTGATTTAAACTGTTTATTGTGAAGTACATTAAATTTATTGACAATTTAGAAATCGGTGCGGTATCAAACAATTGTTTAAACAAAACTAAAATATCACTATGAAATAGGTTATTATAATAATTCCTAATTCTTAGGTTATTGAAACTCAGAAGAAAAACGCCTAACTGGAGAAAAATCTTCTAATTTTACCTTCCAAAGTTCACCATTAAAGAATTTATAAACGTGACCTCCTACGAACGTTTCATCTATTAAAATGCAAAAGTCTTCGTCAAGATCAGCAATGTTTATACATGTAAGTGGGTATTTAATGCTTCTAAATACTCCTACTAAACGACACATCATCCTCAAATCCTGGAAAAGTGGATCGTCTTGACCTTGAAAACAAATTACCGAATTTAGCTTATTTCTTACTAATTTTCTTAATTTACAAGACAAAATTTCACACAATAAAACACGTGTATAATAAATCGTAGAAAATTAAAACAATACATAGGGTTAGATATAATATATTTCTATGTATATAGGTAAGATCTGGATATAACATATTAGGTAGGTGATTTTTAAGCAACAAAATTGGTGTTAAATAGAATGGACATAAAAACCCAAAGGATCTGTAGGCAATCGAAGAACTATATCGAACAGATAAAATGTAATCTGAACATGACTAACATCATATATACTGTATGTACACTTACGTATTAACAATGTTATAGCTTCTAAAGTCATATCTCTTCTAGCACTGCCCAAAGAAGTCAGATCTTAATTACAAACAAACAAATAGTTAGTTGCTTGCGATTGAATCATTTATACCCATTAAACACCTTGAAAATTAATTGACATTAAAACACGCTACACGAACAAAGACAAATAATTATGGTCATAATGTTACCATTGGCTGGTATAATATAATAGGATATAAAGATACCTTAATAAACAGACATTATTATATATTATTATTGTAACAGAACAATTTTTTTAAACAAATTATTTTCATTGGTTTATATATAATATATATATATATATTTATATTTATATTAAAGTCATTACAATACCATATAAACACTTACCAAATGAACGGATGATTCTATTTTTTAGAGTTCTTGTCGGATGAATTGTTCTCTCTCCTAAAAGACTGGCTAAATTTTCTGCAAAAAAACATAAATTATTGATAATCGGTAATAAAAATAAAATTTGTTGATTATATCACAAAACATTGCGTAACAACGTAATTCTTTCAATTTTTGCACGACCTGTTACTAGTACCTAAAAAATATTAAATACTCTATTTTTGCACTTCTTTTTTTTTAATTTAGTTATGTCACTCAAAGTCTGAGTTAATTTAATTGACCCTATTTTCAACCTTTCAAACAGTACACTCAGTTTTTTAATTTGTAACACGCATTTGGTTTAATGAAACTGGCAGGACAAATAGACTAACCAACGTGCTATACGGTAGTTAGCAAAACCTAAGAAAAAATTCATGTATGATCGTGATTACCTAATTTTACTGTAGGTGAACCGATACGTGCTGTAACCAAAATATTAAACAATTATACGATTAAAAAAAAATATTTTTAAATTATATCCATCACATTCATCCTAAAATTGAAAACACTTAATCAATTCAATCAGTGTAAGATAATGTAAAAACATCTAGTAGCCTCGTTTGAATTAGCGATTTGGACAATGTTTTAATCATCCGCTCCCATATCTATAGTGCCGTTTAATAATGGTAAAAGTTAAGCAGTACCCATAGATATTATCACAAATTTGATTACATTAGGTATATGGTATTTAAACATTTCTTTTTGACAATTACTGAAACGACAACTTGAAATGAATATCAATGCCGCACTCAATTTTCGACTATTAATTACAGTTCATACTTTCTTTAGCAGAATTATGAAATGTTAAAGTTAAACATTTTTGAAAAAAAATCAACACACACGTTAAATTTCTCAGTTTCACAGAAAAACATTGAATCATTATATGTTTTTGGAGGTAGCAGTTTTTTGCAATCTTGATAATCTAACACTTAAGGAATATTTATGGCTATCGAATAAATTCATGATTACCTCTTCCGGGAACAATAGGCGGATCAAGATTTTGATTTAGATTTGGATCTGTAAGAAAATGTAGAATAATATACATACAGTAACATTTTTTGTTTATAATTTCTCTATGACATTTACTTTAAACAGACTGTTAAATAAAAAATAAAGCCCTTATTGTTATAATATTATCTACATGCATACTTCATAATTTTATTAAAAAAATACCGTTAGACAATAATGTATGAACTTCTAGTAGTCTCATTTAAAATAAAGATTTGGACTATCATAAAAAAAAAGGTTTTGGCTAAACTTACAATATTTATCATTATTACTTAGAACCATATTATAATAATAAAATAATTGTTCCTATAAAAAGTTTAATTTTTTTGTTTACCCGTTACATCACTTATTGCTGATTGCATCATTTTCTGGTACTCTAACTTATCTAACATTGAAAAATAAATTAATTTTAATGTAAATAATTTCTTATGATATATATCAATATTTTAAATATATGTTTACCTTCAAAATGCATTATTATTTTACCACCAGAATCTGGGTTTACACTTTCTAAAAAAAAAATAATAAAATTTTGTACTTAATGAATATCAAATAACTATATTAAAAATTTTTAATGCATTATTATTTTACCATCAGAATCTGAGTTTTCACTTTCTAAAATAAAACAAAAACATTTTGTACTCAATGAATATCAAATAACAGCTATATTTAAAAACTGTAGTTAAATGTAACACCCTTATATATTTCTACTATTAGTAAGTTTTACCAGCAAATGTTTACTCAACTGAAAAACAATAGGATACTTAGGCAAGTAGACTAGTGTCAGTTTTTTAGTATCAGAATTTCAACCTTGATAAAAAAATATGTATTATAACACAACTAGTTGCCATAAGATAGAGTAAATGATTGATTAATAAATCACTCTCAATTATAATGTAGCATAAAATTAAAATTAAAACATGTTTTACTTAATCAATAACAAGTAACTATGTTGAAAAATAATATTATATTTTACCATCAGGGTCTTGGTAAGTAAATTCTGAAACCAAAATAAAAACATTTTGTACTTAACGAGTATCAAATAATACAACTATGTTAATAACATGTTCATAAAATGTTAAGAAAAATATTACTTGGCGCTTGCAATACACAATCAATTTTCTCTGAAATTAACATAACGTCAAAGTATTTATTCATGGCATTACATTTATTCTATTATTCTAATGTAAAAAAAAAATTAAAATAAGAACGTAGTTCACAGTTCATTTGGTAACGTTTGGTTGTGATGGATTTTCGGAAGGCGTTGACAAAAGGGTACAAAAAACTTTTACATGACTTGAGGTTACTAGTCAAGACATCCAAGTGGGAGTAACCTCAAGTCATGTAAAGAGTGTAAATATAATACCCCCCCTCAAGTTTTAATAATTTTTTAAGTACAAAAAAGTCGAAGAAAAATACAAAAATTACAGTGTGGCCAACACCCTCGAACTCGGTTTCTCTGCGTTCACTTTCCTGGCTAGCACAAAGAATATACAGACATATTATATAGATTTTGAAAAAATGACTCACAGTAATAATTAAAAGTTAATTTTTTAAGTCAGAAGCTAGATTTAGGAGGGGGGGGGGGTACCAAAAACCTGTGAAATTTTGCATAAAAGGTTAAGGTATTACCCGGTACTGCCAACATAAAAGCCATTGCCTCTGAAATTAAGATAACGTAAAAGTATAACTTAAAAATATTTTATATTATTTTTTATTTTAATTAAAATAAAAAAACTCTACGTTGAAATAAAAAGATGTAGAGTAACATTTAAAATTTAAGATTTTACAATCATTTATATAATTTGAAAAAACTTTTATCTTCTAGCATGCTTTTTCGTTATTATATGTTTAATGTTTATTTATTATATAATTTTAATACCCATCCCATATACATCCGATCTCGCAACCATATTTTTAATTATTGTCGGCAGGAATTCTGGAATAAACAAACAATTTTATTACATCACATAAAAAAAGTCTCAAATGGAATATTAATAAATATTAAAGATTACAGAAAAAGAGTGAGCCACATGCTCTAAAGTATGGTAACCATTTTACTTAATGCTACTTGTCGTGTTAGGTTAAATCTGTCTGTAGGTAAGTAAATTATAGATACTACTCCTTTAACAGAAATAGAAATTATTTGATTTGCATAGGTCACATTGTGTTTAAAACACTGGTTCACTCATCTCATTCATTCTTAGCCTAAACAGACTACAGAAACAAAGATTTTTAATTTAAAAATCATTTGACAAGTCATCCAAACAACATACCAAAGACATTAAAATATAGTATTTTTTTTTTAGACATTATTTATTATTTTCAAATTAAACAAATGTTACCTTTTGCTTGCTTGATGTCATCGTCTGTGATAAATTGTACAACAATATTAAAACATAAAATATTTTTTTGTACAAAAAAAAGTTTCTACTGACTTGTTATGAGAACCTGCTGAATATAGTCATCTGTAAAAAAAAAATTAATATTGATTTTTTTTTTTGTAGATTTCTACAACGATTGCAAAAATTAAATAATCACCTAATTTAGCGACCAAAACATGGCCGACCAATGCGAATGATATTAAAATAAATAATTGTTTCATTTTTTATCTGCAAAAAATTATAATAAACAATTAATCTTTATGTAGGTATTAGATTCAGTCACCATAAGCTTCTAACAGGAGTTGTAAAGATATTGGTTTTACAAATATGTGTTCACTTTTCTTCTTGTACTCAAACTCGGTGAACCACAAAAATAAAAAAACGTCTAAATTTGATTTCATCAAATTAAAAAAAACATATCATTGTAAGTACCTTTTCAGCTCCCCATCGAAGCTAATAATTAGTAACACTTAAACTAATGTTGTCTACAAAATGTGCTTACAATGTCAGAAGATGATTAATAAGTACAATATAGTGTAAGTAATAAACTTCAACTACCGAAATAGGGACATTCATGAGCAAAATAACAATTGATCTGTTTGTTAAACTATTTTAAAGTAACTATTTTTAGCGACTTTTGAATATTGGCGTTTATAAATTTTGCAGTGCCTTTGTTTATTTATTTACATAGCTGTTTTTATTTTTAATATTATGATGCATCTATCTGTTCATTTGCTATGACTTTGTATGGATATTACATTTCCTCTTGTAATTCTTCACAATTCTCCGGTTTTCCAAAACGCAGTAGCTTAAAATGTTTGTAAAATCCGTTTTTATTAACCACACTCAATGAAATATGTTGAAATAACTATAAAAGCGGTTATTATCACAAGTTAATTCATTCTTTATAACATTGTGTAATATGATACTATTATATCGACAGTTTAGTTATTGGAAGTTTAAAAAACCTGAAGCTTCAGTTTGTTCAACTGTTAGTTACTGCTAACCGAGTCCAGTGTTTAATAGACAATTTAATACAACCAGAATTCGATTTTCATTTTCGTTTGAAGTTGAATGCTTCTAATATGAAAATATGCTTAATATTTCTTACACCAATGTTGTCATGACAGTTATATTGAAAATTTAATTCGTTTTAACACCAAGTGAAGTCGAGGCACATTGGTGTCAAAGTATATTAGACAATGAGAGGGCAAAGGTGTTCAGGAATAATTTATTTTGTTTGAAAGTGGTGTAATCATTTTCAAACAAACGGTACGTTGTGAAACTATGGATACAAAATAACTAATTAACAAAATATTTTTAGAATACCAATGTATATAATCGTTGCCCTCGATTTTTATTTTTTTGCATTTGTGTGAGTACTTGTCAATATAACTTTATATTTTTAAATTCGAAGGTTATAATAAATCATAGGTTAATAATATTCTCGCACAAACATACAATTTTAGAATTTTATGCAAAATATATTCATTTTTTTTTATAAAAATCACGTGTACAAATTACATAGGAGTTTTGTTTTGAAGGAGTACCGTGTCTGTTTTTTGCACACATTGTCGTTTAGATTAATATTTGTTTTATGACTATATGTGCGTATTAAATCTTGAAACATTTGTGATTACACATAAGTATAATATTGACAATTGTATCGGCTTGGTAGCAAAATGCGTGTACGAAAAGTTTTATTACAAAATCAAAATAATAAAAACCAGTAACAAGGGGGGGGTGGATCATAGGTGTAAAATAATTATTACAAGTAGAAAAATATGTAAATTTATCAGGTGTTTTTCTGGATTTCAAAAATTAAGGTGTATAATTTTTTTGTGTATACAAGCGTGAAACGTCTCATAGTTATTAAAAACTTTTCAAATGTAACGACTTAAGTTTATTTTAAAAAAAAAACTGCATTTATTAGTAATATTTCTAAATGTAAAAATTACATATTAATTTGTAACCATCTCCACCGTTTTTAAAAATGTGAACATTTTTTTTTTTTTAAATGGACAATTGCTCTTTGACTGCAATGAAAAATTGTTATTTTAATTGTTTGTTTCTATGGTGATAAATTACTATACACGGTCGATCAGCCTTGATCGTATCCAGCTTATAATAACAAAAATACATTTATAAGTTCATTTTTGTCATTAAGTACAACGTTTTTAGCGATAATGGTGTTAACCATAAATTTTGACACAATTTTGAGAGCGAACGGCTGGACATAAATAATGATCATATAAGATATCAGTAGATCGGGACAGTCGTGTAGATGTGTTATTAAAATTATTAAAAAGTTGGTTGAATACTTTCTTATTTACAAGCAAATAAGTACAATATTTTCAAGGCACCGCGAGGCGTGGTTGCTTTTCCTTATTTTCCCGCTATAGTTTTTCTACTATTTTCATAATATGTGCTGTATTTGCTAGGTCGGAAGTAGGTAAACAGAATTAGACTTCCGGCAAAATTAAATTTTGTAGACGGATTTAATTAGTTGACAACGATTTACAATACATATATTTCATTACGGTATTTACTTAGTTGCTATAATATGTTATGTCATATATTTTAAGACTTTTTTTTTTTTTTACTTAGCGGCCATTTATTTTAGCATTGTTTATTTATCGTCCAGGCGATTTTGAATTTTTTGGTGCTAAGCAACTTATTCCTACTCATGTATGGCGAACAAATATTGTCACTACTGCGGGTACATTATAATTATTTTTAGCCAATACAAATAATACACAATAAACCTTAATAGCTATATTTAATAATCGACCCTAACCTAACAATATGACCACATATTTTTTATTATTGTGGTCCTTAAAAAGTAGATTTTCGAATTTTAACCTCGACGCCCCCTAAAATGTTTATAAGATAAAAAAAAAAAATTTTAAATATTAATTTTGACCAAAAAACCTGAATAAATTTTCATTTTCTGGCAACAATTTTGACAGGTATGAACTTTTGTGTATAGTGCACGGGTTAAAATTAATATTTTTCAAATTTTCTTTTTTTGATCTTATGTTTATTGTATTTAGAAACATTTCAAGGGGCGTCGAGGTTAAAGTTCGAAAATCTACTTTTTAAGGACCACCCTAATATATATATATATATATATCAATTATATTGGATTATACACTAAAAACTTTCGATCATATTGTCCTTGATTTGATCATTGAGGACATGGACTGGATTCTCATCTTTGTCAACTTCATAATAGTTTCCTTCAAAGAATCTGTATATGAAGTATATGTCATCTAAAGCCGCTATATAACAATTTTCACCATCGATACCAGCAGTCATTATGCATAAAGCTGGGTTTTCAATTGCTCTGAACAACCCTATTAAACGACACATCTTGAGATAAATTGCAAAATCTGGATCTTTTTCACCTAAAAAATACAAATATTATTAAATTTAGCTCATTCGATACGACTTTTCTTTCTGTGTAAGACACAACTTCAAAAATTGTAAAATAAAACAGTTGTTTGTTTCATAATAAATAGATAAGTAACACAGAAGCTTTTACATAAAAAAAAATTTGTCATTTTAATAAAATTCGATTTTGTTGACGCTCTATAGTTATATTATTGAAAAAAATTTAACTGTGTCTTACTGTAAAAAGAATAATTGTCTGTAAATCAATTATTATTTTTATTTTATTCTGATTATTAATAATTTAATAACTTTTTAATAACTTTTTTTTACAAATGAATACAATTAAAATTAATACCTTAAGTTGGTGACTAATTTTATAGAAATTTATACAAATATTTATATATAAAATGGTAATCAAAATTGATATGCATTAAATTTGATATGTATACTTACTTATTACAGTACGGATTAATTTTTTTATAGCTGGAAGAGTTGATAGTCTTCTTTCCCATCCCAAATATGACAGATTAGCGTTTTCAAAATCGCCTTTAAAACAAACGATAAAAACAAGTTTTCAAATAATTAGTTGTTAGTAGGGTTGGGCCTATCCGGATATTCGGATATCCGAAACTATCTGGATAATTTTTAACTACCCGGATAGTTTCGGATATTCATTTCATTTTTATAAGACAAATATTCCTTAATAATATACAGTGTTTTTAAACATACCGAATAATAAAATAATGACACCTAATTAAATTTTACTATCACATGAATGATTTTTAGATATATCCGTGTCAGTGGTTGTTAACCGACTATTCGGACTCTTTGCAGAGTCCATCCTCGGGGTTGTCACGACTGTTTCGCTGCCGGTTAATAACCACTGACACGGATATATCTGAAAATCATCCACGTGATATTACAACCCGTGAAAATTTCAAAAAATACATAAATTTGAGTACTCAAAAAAATATACTCGGCTGGTTAAAAATTAAATGAATATCCGAAACTATTCGGATAATTTTGGTTCTACGGATAATTGAAATATTATTTGATATCCGAAACTATCCGGATAGTTTCGGATATCCGGATATCCGAAATTATCCGGATTTCGGATATCCGTATCCGAATTATCCGGATATCAAATAATCCGGATATCCGCAAAATCCGAATATTAGTCCCAACCCTAGTTGCTAGTCGCTATTGATATAGTTGAATTACATCTTAAAGAACTATAATGTTGCCATTTTATGTACAGCCTACCTTTTTTACTTATACCTAAAATCTACATTATTAAATCAATATTTTAAATGTTAACCACTACACCTACAAAATCGATAAATACACCTTACAACATTTATTTATTTTTCAACTTAAGCGCTCTAACTTTTTTAGGTATTGTCAAATAAGTTGGCAAGATATTGGCCACGGGGGAGCTTCCCCGACTCTTAAAAATATCATATTCATGAATAATTATTGTGATTACCTTCGTTTATCTTAGGTGCTTTGATACCTATAACCAAAAAATAAAACAAATAATTACAAGGTTAAAAAATAATGTGTTTAACAGTTATTCTACAATTCAGTATACTTAGACAACTTATTCAATATAAAATAATTTTAAAACGTATAGTAGCCGCGTTTGAAGTGATGATTTTAATAAGTTTTAACGACCGTCGAAACATTAAGCAAAAATTATAATACAGGAAAGAAGAATTTTTATTTTAAACCATACAATTATTATTAAATGTAATCATTGTTCGTATACAAAAATTTTATTTTTATATCTACCTGTTACAGAATATATATGTGATCGCACAAGACGCTGGCATGCTGTCATATCTACAATTTAAAACAAAACATATTTTAATGTAATTGTGTGATTATTCACAAAATATATGAAAAATGTATTTACTAAGTATTTACCATATATTCCATCGTCATCGACGTTTTCTTTGGTTCCTGAAATTAAAACAAAAACATTTTATACTTGAATATCTAAACGCTATATTGAAATAATTCCATGATATGTTAAGATAATTATTACCTGCCATTACTAACATGAAAGCCATTTCCACTGAAATTAACATAAAATAAATGTATTATTTAAAAGAAATAAAATTTAAGATTTTATTTTAAAATAAATAATAAGACA